TATGTCAATACCTGAAATTTAATTTTTAATAAGATCCGCTTCCAAAGCTTCTCAAACAGCCTTTGATCCAATCAGCAATCCGATCAGCTTTTCAATCAGCTCTGGAAGGGCTTGTCGTATCGAAAAGAAAATCAAAGAAAAGCGCTTTCGAAACAAAAGCCCACAGATGTCGAAAAATTGATTGGTGTAACGATTTACACACAAAAATCGAATAGAATCAAGAAAATTGACAAAAGAAAGGGGAAAAGTAAGAAATAATTCATCGTTGAACGAGACTAAAGAGGAGATTTTCATACATGTACAAAGAAAGGGCAATTTGCGCCAAATGCGAATCATTTCGAATAGATTGTAGTATTAGTATTCTTTGTATAAATATGAATATTTAGATCCATCTAAAGAAGCACGCGTTTTGCCCAAATTGTAAAAGCTCATTCACTTCTTGTGATGCATCCTAGACTTGCCGGTTCTCAGCTAAAAGCAATCAAAAAGTTCAATCAGAATTCTAGGATCAATTCAAGGACTACTCAAGATTCCAGGGCTCAGAAAAGACCACGATTTTAGTTCCCTTGTGAGTAATTTGTGCTCACGAGACATATATATATATAGTAACTGATGAGGTAATCGATATCGGTAATCGTAATCGATATCAATAATCGGTAATCGATCGTGGGTCAATTATTGTGGAAATGTGAGAAAGCAGATGGCATTAGTCCCTAATAATTGTCAGTTGTAATGCTTGCTTGAATAGATCGGAGTACAACATGCAGGTACCCGATGCCAAAAAGACGAATTCGCAAAAGTATATACGATCCGAAAATGGGATTTAGCTTTAATTGAGCTCTTTGATTGTCTGATCGGATTGTTTAATGTCGCAACAATTGTATATTTCGGTCGTAGAATTAATGGATAATTGATGGTCGTAAATTGTGGCTCCATTGTGGCTCAAGTGGGGTGTACAAGGTGGTTAGAGATCAAAAAAACCGCCCATGTGATTTCCAGAATCTAGACAAAATTTATGACAAAAAATTAATTGGAAGTAAGGGAATCAGCGCGGAAACCGATCAGAAAGTAATCGAGAAGAAAAATTTTCCAAAAACAAGTCCATTTTACACTGAAAAAAAGCAAAAATCCGACTTGCAACTTTCAGATTCAAATCCTGACTCAACCGTTCGCTTGAATCCTTTACTCCCAATTAGTTTTTGTCACAAATTTTGTCTAGATTCTGGAAATCACAATGTTTTTCTTGGATTTTGGACCCAGAAAAAGTTATGGGTCAAAAACCTCGAAAAATCCCGTTTTCCATACAAAATCGAGTTTCCAGCTCTCGAAAACGGTAAGGACTAGTCATAAACGGTTTTCAGTTTTAGAATCGAGATCATTAAATTACGCTATTGGACTTCTTCGCTGATCCAAGAAATATTCATTTTCTGAGGGGTGGAGCTATAATTATGTTGATCGGCCAAGACGATTTTTTTGAAAATTTAGATGTTTTTTCTTTATAAGCTTTGCTATGCAAAATCGGTGTTTATGATAATTTTAGTATCGAAATATCACACCTTTTCTATTTTGAAAGTTTTGATTAAATCTTTTCAAAAACTTAGTTTTTGAGAGATCCATAGGTGGAGCTATGATCATGCAGAGCAGTGTAGTATGTGTTACCCCTTATAAGTCAGCAGGCAGATTAAGTCGAAAATGTGTTAGATTAATTAAACTTTGTTATAATTATTTTATTTTTATAACATTTTTATAACGGGCTAAAAATTGAAATATAAGTGTAAAATGCTATAAAAATGCAATTATAACAAACTTTAAATAATCTGACACATTTGCGACTTAATCTGCCTTCATATAAGGCGTAACACATATTATGTAACACAACTTTCCTCTCGTTTTCTTTCTGCCAAAAAAAAAGAGTTTCAACACCGCTTTTCCTAAACTTCTCATTGAAAGGTGAGCACTTTTTGAAACGAGTCGAATATGGGCGAACATTGGAACAGGAAAGGAGGAAGAGTTGCGCGGGTGAAGAGGGGGAAAAGAGAAAAAGTGAGGGGGAAGGGGGGAAGGAAAAGAGGAAAGGGGGGAAGCAAAAGAGGAAAGGGGAAGAGGGATCCGAAGAGAGAATCGGCCCGAATCCCCGTCTTTTGCCCTTTTTCCCTTTTTGCTGAGTGTGTCGCCCGAGTATTGATTCGGCACACTCACCCGAGTCAAACCTCATCCCCAGGATTGCTGTTTTTAGTCGGCTTAAATGGATTTTGACCAATTTTTGGATGAATATCTAGTCTTTTTGTGATTACTTTAAGTTTTTTTGCCTTGAAATTTACATTGAAGTTAAGTTCATTTCCCTAATTGATTGCTACAATTGTACAATTGCCATTTAGGTTCAAATTTACCTAGAATTGGCTTCTGTTTCCAATTGCTTACTCCAATTTTGTTAGGCTTTGCCAAAGGCAAACTTATCATTAATGATTTTTGCTTCTTCTTGTTTCTTTTTCATTTACTGTTCTGTTTCTGAAAGTGTTTCACTTTCAGTGTTTCGTTTATCACTTTTACCACTGATTGTAGGCTAACCAATGCTCAAAAGTTTCCACGGTAGACATTGAAATCTGGCTTGTAACCTGGCTTTGTTGTTTTTTGCTAGCTTTCTCAATCATCCATTTCCAGTTTCAATGAGACCGTCATCAATTCGCTCAACTATTTGGCAAGTTTTTGAGAAACAACCCGACAAAGTCGTCTGCACTCTCTGCCAGGCGAATTTCAAGAGAAGCAAATATGGAACAACGAGCAATTTGAGGCGACACATTCGAGCTAATCATAAAGAATACGCAGAAGGATTGAATCTAAGCATTGATGCTTATGGAATACTAGGAAATGATCCGAAACGATCGAAACGGGACAAGGAAACGATTCCAACGTTGAGTCTATCTACGATTGATCCGATGCTGGTGTTGAAGAACGAGATTGATGAGTCGACTTTGAACGATTTCTTCAATGAACCTGCAAATTTGTCGACGATTGAGAGCTTGTTGTGTGAGTTTGAAATCAAGCTTACATTCGCAAATCTAAGGCTTTTGAAAAAACCTAAAGCTAAAGCCAAGGCATTGAATTTAAAATAGAGCTAATACATAATATTTCATGGACTACAGAATTTCTATCTCCTACAATCACACATTTCAGTTGCAACTTCTCGTCCACTCGACGATCTGGAGCCTCCGACCGCTAGTGACACTCCGACAAGTTCCGTTCAACAACCAATCGAGCATTTGGAAGAAGATCTGGTTAGTGATTGATAAAAGTAGGGCTCTAAGCAATAAGGATAGCACAGCATCGACGTTAACTTGACTGTCTCATTGACTTGCGACCCCTTTCCGAGAAAATCCTGGGCTGGCTCTTTAAAGCGTGGTAAAACTACCGTATCCCTCCTAATTTGCAGGTATAAAACAAAGGACGCAATTTCATTCTATTTCATTGCTGCACCTCACACTGCCCATTCTGATTCTGCCTTCCAGTAATTATTCTGAAACAGCCATGATTTTTTAACTAAACTGAGTCAGCAACCTCTAGGTATGTAAGGAAAGATCTTTCTCTATTTTCTGCAAGGAATTAGCCAAGTTTCATTTTTTTTTAATTAAAGTTCGAAGCATTTTCGGGCAAAAATTAAAGATATAGATGTCAGTTTGTGGAACTAATTTTGTAAGACGATTAAAATTGCGCTCTCATGTGTGGATGCCATTTGCAAAGAAGTTTCTCCGTTTTGAATGTACCGATTCCTTCTGCAAACTCCTTCCACAAAGTTGTGTCATCACCACTCATAAAGAATACGAAGAAATACAGAATAAGCAAAAAAATAAAGAACAAGAATGCAAGAATGAAAGGACGAAATTGCGCGCTTTCCTTTATACCTGCAAATTAGGAGGGGTACGGTAGTTTTGAAAGCGCTTTAAAGCGCCAACCTAGGATTTTCTCGGGAAAAGTTTCCAATTGTCTCATTGACTTCAAGGCATCCTGTAAAGATTGAGTCAAGATCAGGATTAAGTATAGGAAAGGCTTACCTACTTTTTATCGACTTTAAAGTATAATCGTGTTTGGAATGTATAAGCTACAAACGCTAAGCTTTCAGAGAGGAAAAGAAATGGAAAACCTTCATGCCGAGTTGCGAAAAATGATCCAAGAGTTGATGGTGAGCCGAGAAGAAAATCGAAAGCTTCGAGGGGAATTGAATCAAGTAAGTGAAATGAGAATGAAAGTGAATATAACTTCAAGGAAAAGAATGAATACCATTGTCTAAGCAGTTATACCCGACTTAAAAAAACCCTTCATTTTAGGTGAATCGACTTTATCTGAAGAAATCGATCGAGGCGGATTTGGCTAGAGAAGAGGTTGGTTTTTGTTGATCAAAAATAAAAATAACTTTACTTAAGCATTTCTTAGAAATTTATCTAAATTAATATTAAACCTGAAAACTTGTTTAGTGATATGTATATAAACAATACAATTTCTATTTTCATTTCCAGATTTCCCGACTCAAAGGAGAATCGTTTGACGACGAGAATGTGACTTACCTGGATTGAAAATCAAAAATTGTACAATGAATGGAACTTTTGAATCAGATTTAATTTTATATACATAGTTTCTAATTTAATCAGTGCTTTTTCATTTATTTTGTCATTTTCCATTCATTCCATTTCCATTCATTTTCTCGTTTTACGGGTTTAGTGTTTTGCTCGATTGTAGTTCTTGCATTGTATGTACTTTATAATACTTTTACGGAACCTTGTTTAGTAACGTAAAAGTGTTAAACGGAAAGCCTGTGTTTGCTAAGAAGCTAAGAAGTTAAGGAAAGAAAACACGCCAAATTGAAAATTTCCCGTAAAAATAAGCTGCAAAGGAATTTTGAAACTTTTTGCCTATTTAGTTTATCAAACATAATTTATTATCATATCAGCAACCAAAAATGAAACTGAACCAAATTTGTACAGCCAAAACGATGAGATCGATTTCTATTTCTTGTTGAAGCAATCGCGTTCCTTCTCAAGCATTGAGAGTTCGAGAGTTTGCACGTTGTACGGCTAAAATTTGGTAATAAAATTTGGAAAGCAAGTTTGGAAAACATAAAATGCTCAACATATAGTAAAGAATTAAAGAATCAATCTTAGGAAAACTCACATTGGTGGCCCTTGGTCCAGCGGAAATGTACGTGTAGGGGACGGGGAACGAGTGTTTGTAGTAGCAGAGAGGGATCTGCAAAGTTGGATCAATTTGGATTCCTTATTTTTCTTGAAGCACTCACCGTTTTGTCACATCTGTGATAGATGTTCATCTTTACATTAAGCCGTGTCCTCTCATTTCCCATTCCCTCCAAATCGAACGTTCCATCGGCATTCGAGCGACCCTCCGCCAATTTGTCATCAAGAGTGACTAAATGGGTGAGTAAATATTTGATAACTTTTCAAATTGATCGAAGTTTTCATTTCGAATTTCACAGGATCTATTTATTGTATTTTGCTGACTCGAGTTAGCAAAAAGGCTAATCTTGCAAAGTTTTGGCTAAAGTTTGAACCAATTTAGGCTCAGATTTTCTAGGTTAACTACCTAGAACTATCTAGGTTTTAACTGCCTAGATTTTCATAGAGTCCTAACAGAAATGCTGCTTTAGTGAAATGCTTTAGTTTTATACAAAACAATACCGAATTCTGTAGCAAAACCAATACTTTCCAAAAAACTCACAAGTGTCATGATCGTACAACTTGATTTTTGCTCCTCCATACGGTTGTCCCTTGCAAGTCAGCTTTCCGTAGACTCTCACAGTCTGATATCCGGCTGTGACAATGGAAATGAGAATGACGAATAGGAATACGTGAAGTGATCGAAGCATTTTGTATCTGAAATTTGAATTTATTACCAAAATTAGTGACAAGGCAAGAATTGAGAAGATGGATAAGTAGATGGAAGTGAGGAAAAAAACCAATGATAAGATAACGATCAAAGAAATGTGGCTAAAATGGACATATCAAGTATAAAACACTAGAGAGGCAAGAAAATGTTCAGTTGAGGCAATCTCGGTGCTTCTCCAAGAGAGACAACTCGATCGTTTGTGCGTTGAACATCTGAAATCAACGAGAAATCAATGGGAGATCAATGATGATGAAATGGGAACGGGTGAAATAAAGGATTTGCAATTTTGAATTTTGAATTTCAAATAGAAACGAGTTTTGAATAAAATTGGAACGGGGAACATTTTTAAGCGGTTTTGAATCGTCGCCTGTACTTGATAAAAGTTTTGAAGCTAAAACTTAGTTGACGTTCTTAACTTGAATCCAGCTATTGACCACATTACATTCTACTCATAAAGTTAAAGTGTAAAGAACGGGAAAAGCTATTTTTAGCGGTTGTGAGTCATTACTTGCACTTGAAAAAGATTTGAAGCATAAACTAGAGCTGACTTCCCTAAACTCAAACTAGAGCTGACCCAAAGTCAACAATAGATTTTGGCCCCAATATCCGATTACTTTTAAAGCGTAATTCTGTTTTTTGTAGCTTAAACTAACGATTCTTTTAAATCTAAAGCAAATCAGAAAATCCTGAGCAAGTCAGCCTAAAATTCACAAACCTTTTGCGGATAGGTGCCCGAGCTTACGTAGCTCTGAGGGACGGCCCACGAGTATTTGTAGTAGCAAACAGGGAGCTAAACGAAAAAATAGATTAATAGCTTAAAGATCTAATTGAAGATATTTGGCTATAGTACTTAAAGTGTATTCAAATTTTCGACTCCTACCGTCTTTCCACATCTGTGGTACACGTTGAATTTGACGTTGAGACGGCTCACTTCGCTGCCGGTTCCGACGAGCTAAATTGTTTCGTATAATTGTTTATAAACATTGAAGAACTGTTTAGTTCAAAATTTAGATTAAAGAGCTAGATTTCGTTTAGGAATTTCTTTATCTAAATGTTTAATGAACTTATTAAACCAACCTTGAAATATCCAGTGTTATCAGTTTGCGTCTCGCCGAGCTTGTCGTCCATAGTCACTGAAAAACTATTTTGAAACAAGCTGATACTTGAGAAAATTGTTAACTAAAGTCTTTTTTAGATTTTGAATGTATTTACAGACTATTTTCTTTGAAAACTCACAAGTATCATGATCATAGAGCTTGATCTTAGCTCCCGAGTATGGCTTTCCATTGCAAGTGAGCTTCCCCTCGATTCCCACCGTTTGCTTGTTAGCGGCAATGAATGGAAGAGCTAGAAGAGCGAAGAAGGCCAATTGAGTGAACATTCTAGATAAATATTCAAGAAATAGAAGTATTCAGTGAAAGAATATATTTGGAGATCAGAGTAATTTGTACTGGAATGAGTGCTAGACTAAACTCGAAGCTATTATAAAGGAGAAAAGTGTTTGTGATGAGTCACTGAGAGAAAAGAGAAATTAGTTTATTCCCTTGTCAAAAACAAAAGTTTCATGAGAATCGGGTGACCTTGAGTTATTGTTAAATTTGAGGTGAGTCATTGGAAATTGGTTGGGTTTGAAAGAGAGAGATCAATGGAGGGAAAAAGTGGGGAGGATAAACGATGAGAGGGACATATGGTCAGTCGGAACAAAATAAAATAGAGAAGTGGACGAAAAATGAGAAAAAATGAGTGGGAGATAAATGGTGAGCCGATGAATCGAGAGGGTTTGTTGGAAGGTCGAAAATGATTGTGAGGGCTGATTTCAGCCTCCGGGTGAATAAAGGCTTATGGGGATTTTGAAGTGCTTCTACAGTACTAGTTTCTATGGTACTATCGTACTTTAGTACTCCAGTTCTATCACACTCTTACAGTATGATAGAATTCGAGTTTTGCTAAAAAATAGTACCTTTACAGAGTACTACAGTAGGATAATACTTCTACTTCTTCTGTAAAAGTACTCCTATTTCTTCTACAGTACTGTAAAAGTGCTTTAGTACTATGTAGAAGTACTATTCTTTCTACAGTACTGTGAAAGTACTGTAGCTTTGCTATCGTAGCCAGATGCGTGTAAGAGGACAAAAGAACGGCTGTACCTTTTTTGATTTTCTAGAAGAAAATGTGATCAGATAAAAGGTCAGCAAGAAACGCATAGCTACTGTATTGCATAAAGCTAGTTTTTACATACAAAACAAATGAGTTCTTGAAAGAAAGTCAAATAAGATCTCCAACTTACAACAAGATCAAATAATCGAATGGTCAAAACATCTAGATTAGCTCCTATCATGGAATAACAATCTTGATTCCCTCTGATTGAACAATGGAAGATGAATCGATTGAGAAAACGAAAGGGGATCAAAGGGTGACCATATGGCCGACGCAGAGATTGGAGATAAAGAGATCCCTCGGGTTGTTTTGACGGGATGAGGAGAGACAACCCGAGGCAAACAATTTCCTTCAATTAAAGTAAAGCTAGCAAATAAACAAGTGATTAGCTATTGAATGGGATTTAAGGGATTGACCTTTTCAATGTAGGTAAATATTATAAAAATTAAAACAAAATTTGAAGCAATTCTTGAAGAAAATAGTTCAACTTTCGATTAACTACTGGAACTTTGCCAGTCTCAGCCTAACCTCAGTTGGGGAATTGATCAAATATGTTATAAGTTCCCTTACTAGAAAGCCATTCAAGATATTAAAAACTGGGTTATTAGCCCTTAAACCAAAGTTTTGCCTAGCTATGAGCTATGAGCCACAGCTAAAATTTCAAAAACTGCTTTAAATTTTTACTTTTACAGCCACAAAGCGTACGATCTATTAAAAGCAACGAATTTTGAAAAATAAACCAAGATTGATACTGAAAACGAAAGTAAAGCTCGATTGTCAGCGAAAATTTCGTCCACTCCTCACTGTGTTTACATAAACATTGACAATGAGAGGGGGACACGATGGGTCTCTAACTTGTTAAAATAAAAACACATTTTCATCGCTTAGAAATTCTATTCTATAAATCAAAGATCTAAAATGACAAGAAATTACTTAACATAACAAATTTTGCACCTTTTTAAATTTTTATACACACTTCCCTGTCTGTTGTTTCCAAGGAGGGTCTTACTTTACAACTCGAACACTGGTACTTTATAACTACACAAATAGTAAGCTAAGAAATGTATTTACTTAGAAGAATGACGCTTTGAGCATCAACTTCTTTGAACTGATCTTGTTTTTTTTATTGTTTGAACTGATCTTGTTTGTTTATTGTGCTCTCAAAAAAAAAACCAACTGCGCTTGAAAACGAGTGAGAAATGACGGGAACTATGGGATTTTCTTGTGCCACAAAACAGAACAATTGAAAACAGCTGCCTAGTCAAATGAGTCTATTTGGGGAGAAATGTTTGTCCTTGTTGATATCTGATCACAAATTAGAGGCTAGACACAAATATGATTGAGTACATTTGGGCTATCAAATTGGCTATGAACCCATTTTACTAGTTGACTGATTAGAACGAGAATGGGATAACAAGGGTTTTGATCAAGTCAAGATTACACCAATTTTTTCATGGGTTCTTCTTGTGCCACAAATTTTCATTGGCCACATTGTTCATTTTCATGGTTTAATTTTGTAAAATGTCAATTATATTATAAACATTTGAAATAGTTTTAAGGCCAGATAAAATTCAAGTGTTAAAACATCAAAACGCAAAACAAAAGTTTTGCATACAAAACTAGCCCTGAATTTTTGGCTTGAGTTCGATAGCTTTTTGGTAAAGCTTTTGTTTTGCCATGTTTTGCCATTTTGCAAAAACGGAAAGCAGATTCGGAATCAACGTGAAATTCCGCGTCTAAGGCTCATGTCATTTGGCATCCTACTGTTGCATTTCCCTTGTAAGAGGGATTTTATGACACAAGTAATCGTGATCAAATGGTATAAAAGTCACTCATCGATGACGATCATCAACAACTTCACTCACTTGAACTTCTTTCATCAACTCTCGCCTCATCCAATATTCGTGCCTTCTCCGTCCTCCTCATCTCTTTCTTCTTCTTCTTTGGTGAGTTCTTTTGCAAACAGTTTCAAAAGTGAACTACAAATACTATGATCACTAATTTTAGGGCAATTCTAATGGGATTCCAATACAACTAAACGGTTTATTATCAAAGACTTACATTACTTTAAGGTTGGTTCTCTTTCGAATGTCGATCCGCCTCCAAGTCATCCTTCTCTTCATCCTAGTCATTTTCTTTCAGTTGTCGATCTCAACAGATACCCCCGAATAAGAACGGTCTTGTGTTCCTTTTTTTGTTCTTTTCCAATCGGCCTTGAGACTCGGGAAAAAACGGCTAACCTATCTTTTTTAAGTGGCTTTTCTTGTGTAAATTTGGGAATATTCATGAGCCAAAGTTGAGCAATTTTGAGAGAAAATATTGATAATAGTGACATTTTCGAAATCGAGTACTGATTCAAATTGTGCTTGATAGTTTTTCAATGATGTACTTAAGAGAAATTTCTTTACAACGAAATGGAGTCAAAGATCTCATCGATGGCTGTAATCTCATTTAGAAGCAAGGGATTCCCAATAAATGTTCAAAAACAAAACTTTTCTTGAGTTCTCGCAATGGAAAATTTGAGAATTTCGAGAAAATGAAGGATTTGTTTGTGAGGAATGAGAAGTTTCAAGAGATTATGGAGAATTCGCAAGCTAGGAAATATTTGTTGAAGATTGTTTACCCTTACTTGAGTCAAATGAATCCAATTGCAATCTTTGGGCAATGCAGTCGAAATCCTGGCCAAAATCCTGGCCAAAATCCTGGCCAAAATCTTGGGCGAAATCCATTATCCGAAATCCGAAATCTTTATTGCAAAACACTGTTTACTTTGTTCTTTTTGTTGATCCAATAAAGTTTCATGTGAATATTTATTAAGATAAAAAAAGAAAACAGAGCAAAAGATTGGATTTAAGTTGTCTTAAATACATGAGCGCTTTTCTTGTTTAAACCATCGAAATCGCGGCGAGTTTTTGCATCGACGGAATCGTTGCCTGAACGATTTCATTGTTTGATTAAAATTTTAATCAAATTAAGGATTAGAAAAGACTTTAAAAGTATCAAAGAAGCAAGCTTTCCCCTACCAACCTCATTTTGTCGATTGCATTTCAATCCAGTGGCATCACATCGATAACCGGATGGACAACAGTGTTGCCTAGAAATTTATCATTAAGAGAAAAGAGAAAATACTTGGAGAAAAGACTTTTACGAGACTTTTTCTAAAAGATGTGACTTCAGAATGATTATAATTTGACAAATCAACTATTTTATCAAATTTTTAAAACTTCTTACTTATCCGAACAGCAAACAGCGTTCGTCTTCGGGCAACAGCCATATTGTCCATTGTCCTCTGGACAACAAGTGCTTCCTGGAAAAGTAAAATAAAGATTTTACTTTGAAAAGAAAAGTTATTAAGCTATTTTTAACACTCACCAGATGGGCATACCCAAATTCCGCCAGGACAGAGCACAGTGAGTTGTTTTGCTGACTAAATTGAACGTTATTTTATCACCGTTGCAAGCTAATCTGACTGGTTTACTTCAACATAATAGTGCCTTTTTGTGCTTAGATTCTATCAAAACTATTCTTAGACTCACCATCAAGGCCACTGTAACGCCGAGCAGTAAAAGAAGGGTTCTCATTTTTGGTAAAGAAGAGCTGAAAGAAAATATCTTAGGCTGTCCAGAAAGTCTTTTCTTTCCGTACTTCCGTTCTTGAAAAATCACAAATTCATCAATTAACCTATGGTTTGCTTTAAATAAAAAGTGTTTATTATTCAATTTCCCATCTTTTTAAGTCAATTTGGGTTCATTTTTTTTAGGCGCAAATTCGAGAGTGAAAAGCGTGTTTTCCATAAAATTCATGTTTTTCGATTTATAAAAACCTCTACGAAGAAATTGGCTTAAACAATTTCTTTGAAAATTTGCCTATAAATCTAACTTTTTGTGCTCTATCTTTTATCTATTGACTCTAAAATAGATTTCCTTAGCTAAAGTGTCTAAACCGCATCATCGTCGTCCTTTTTGACTACC